ATATATATATGTATATATATGTATTTACAGTTAAGAGGCGTTTCATTGAAAGCAATACGAACTTCTTAGTCAATAATAAATAGAGATGAATATTAATCAACTGTTGTTTCGATACATAAAATAATTGTTGACAAACAAAAAAATGAGACAAACTAAGGACATAAAAGTCAACAAGAAATCAAAATGACTTTATTTTTCTACTTACCATCAATAAACAGTCAAATTTTTTTAACCAAAAATCATTATTTTGACTTTCATGATGTCAAAATAAAGTAATTTTGACTTTCTCTTGACTTGGTGTTTCTCGAGAAGTTAACGGTATTTGTCGTCATTTTGACATCAAAATAACATCTTTGATGTCGTTTAACATCAAATAGATGAGAAATAACGTCAGCTTATTAGCTGAAAGCTAGGTACTAAGACGTATTCTGAACTTCCGTACTTGAAATTCACGAAGTAACGCGAACATACGACCTCCTTGGGATTCAGCGCTCCTCTATACGATCGTTTTTGGCGTGGCCGTTTTTTTTTTTCCACAAAAATCCGCGATCGTTTTTCTTCCTCTGAAAGTGGATCACTCGGTCTTTTTATTATGTAACGCGCGGTCCATTCGTCCGCGTGCGCGCGAGGATCGCGCCGATCGGTACCATTCGCGGCGAGGAACAAAACGTGATCGCGGCTCCGTGTGCACTGCGGCCAAGGATCGAGTGAAGGTAATGAAATAGCTAAGTGAAGCGATTGCCTTCTCTCTTTCTCTCTTGTTCTTCCCACGTGCGGTTTCCACCACTCCTCGCACTTCGGGATTCTCGATTGGTCGCGTATCTCTTCGTCGGTGGCTTTTAAATCCTTTTCGCGGCGCACGTGGCTTGGCGGACCGCGGAAACACACCTGTCAAACGTACATATCTACTCTCGTAACAACGTCTATCTGTGAATGATGTAGAATCAATCAACGAGGAGGTAATCACTTAATGTAATCGAGATAGAGTCCTCGAAATCATAAAATTCATATGAAATCTCTACGTATAATCCGATAATTATATATGCAATTAATGAAAAATCATTGTATAATATTAAATAAAATCATATATTTTATCAAATGGCTTCATATGTAGTGAAAAAAATTATTTGTAATCAGACAAAATTATATAAAATCAAATAAAATCATAATCAATGGGACAATATTTCAACTAGTAGTTATCCCCTCGCAATTTAAGCTATTCTTTTTGAAAAAATACTTTTATACTTCTACGTTACTCGTACTTTTCAAAAAAATAATTTTATACGATATATAAGTGCAGTGTTACAAGAATTGCGCTTGCAAATCGAGTTAATTCAATGTTGTGAGGAAGTTGTTGCCGTTAGTACTTTTAAATTAACTCCGTCTGTCTACGCGATTAATGTAATGGTCGCGTACTTCGTAATAAAGTCAACATTGTCGCAACAACGACGTGACCATTGAATTTCTCGCGAATACATCAAGATGACATCTTTTGCGTTCTCGATTGCGCGTCGCGATAACAGTTAGAATACAGTTAGTTTTATATTCTAGTACGAAACAATGAAGACTCTCTAAAATTAAAGTGATAATTATACTCTGTATTCTGATGCGTATCTCGATATCTTCTTTGTAGTTTTAACTTCGTTGTAAACTTTCTTTTGTACAATTCCGGTGTTCGTTAATTAAAATAATTTTTATTTAAAAATATATATAGAATCCTAATCTCTTCTTATATAACATATAATAAGGCGAAATTTCTTATCAAAGTTTAAAATAATTTATTCTTTGTCACCCACAAAATTCTTTCTAATGCCTCGCAGAATTAATTAGTAATGAAAAATTTGTGTTCCATTTGATGAACTAAAAATTTGATGTATATAAAATATAAATTATAGTTATAGTTCTTATGTGTTTTTTTTTTAATACAAAAAGAATTTTGTTAAGCGACAAAAGAACTTAAATGCATGAGGATGGCAATTGACGTTTGACATCTAACTGTCACACAAATCCGGCGATTTCTCGCAAAATCGAGATGGAGCTTCTCTCTTTATTTTCACCGCCGTTAACCCAGAATACACACATTCATCTTTTCTATTATCTACGTTTTTATACTCACCCTTCTCCTCTCGCCAAACCTGGCAATTCCGGTAACAATGAAGCGCAGTTTCCCATGAGAGGTATTTGTGACTCCCGATCTAATTAGTTTGCTCATCGCGACTTTTTTTTTTAGATCATTAATGTTAATTAAAAACAAGTGTGTAAGTGGCATGTGCAACAGGCACTTGTTCTCGTAAAAGTATAAAATTAGAGTGTTTCTGGAAATGTGAGATAATATAATCGAGGAGACCGGTATTATCAAATTAAAAAATATTGATAAAAGTACAATAAATATAAATGTTAATTATTTGGTTTCGACGAATTAATACAAAATTATTTTCTTAATTTTTGTATTAAGTTCATAATAAAAATTAACAACTCTTGTTTACAGAGAATTCTTTTTGTAGCGATTACTCTTGTGAAAAGCTAACAAACACCGAACCCACTGAAAGCTCGAAGCAAAATTATTCTTATAAAATAAATAGAATAACAGCTGAGAACAAGATGTAGGATGCGGGTCGACATATCCTTGCGTGCGGCATTGTTCACACATGCGTGCGTTAAACGAGGCGCTATTTTAATTATTGTCCTGTCTAACGGAATCCGCTTTGAGAAAATAGCCGGAAATTGCTCGTGTTCGCGCTCACAGGTAAAAGCATCCATGCTGCATTCGCGACGCATCTTTGGTACCCTCAATGGATGCCACGCCGAAGATCGACACGACAATGCATTCGTGGACGCATTCCGCGAAATCGTACAGAAATCAGAGCACGTATCCATCGAGCGTGTCGTTGGACCGGTTGAAGCGGCGTCTACAATGAGATTTGAAGGCGTAAAACTTACTCTCTAAAACTTTTTAAAGTGAATCTCACTCTGAAGAGTGAAATCTCACTCTTAAACATTAAAAATTGAGACACTCTCTTTCAAAATTAGCTTAAAATTTTCTTTATTCTTTAGAATTTTTATTTTCATCCCACAAACTATATACATACTATATACGTATTTATATATTATATTTATATATAAATGTCTATTATTTTTATATTTTAATTTATAATACTGCGATGAGATAATATATTCAAATAAGTATAATTAATGTGACTGGACGCCAAGTTTTTTCTTCATTATAATCTAGTTGACCGTTTTAGTCACTTTTCAATCTTATGTGTCTTGTGTTATGAAATACCAGACTGATTGCATTTATTTCGTATCCATTTTTTAAAAGGAAATTAATGAAATGTATTCGATATCTTTTTTATGTACTTGGCTATCTTTTTTTTTAAAGAGGTTATTTTTAAAGATTTCACTGCTTTTATAAATTTTTAAAAACATAACATCGTTGATGCCCGGCATCGCCCGAAGTCATAAGTAAGTCGTAAGTAAGAGTAAAGATGTAATACTAAAAAGTTAACAAAACTCTTCTTTTTCTTCTCTTTGTGTATAAAACAAGCGAAATTTTGATTGTTCTACAAATTTACACTTACTACATGGAGATTAAAGTGAATATCGTAATCAAGTTACATTAAAATAGAACAGATCTCGCTGAAATAAGATTCGATACATAAGATTCGAGTATCAGCATTGATAAATTTTTTGAAAAATTAACTGGCAGTGGAATCTCGTCAATTATAAGTAATCGAGTTTGTTAAAAATAAATGTGTTAAATATAACATATTTTATACAGAATAATGCGAATAGCGTTTTACAAAATTTTAACGAGTAAAAAAATTAAATTTCAATTCTAGAACACAGTCTGGAAGATTCATGTGTGTTCTAGAGTTCTAGAGAAATTTAATTTTTTTACTCGTTAAAATTTCTTATATATAGACAGCGCTTAAGCGTATAAGATATAGAAGGTCGGAAGGAGATGAAATGTCAGTGGGGAAATTACGAGAGACGGTCACGGATGCGTCAAACAAACGCAAATGGAAAATACGATTATTAACTGTCGGCGGATTGAACGAAGGTTTCAACTCGCTGTCGCGGGTGTTTTCCTTTGTTCTCTCGTAACTTTTTCTCCTCAGCTCGACGCGAGTTCCCGTGTTTTCTTCGGTCGTCACGCTTGTCCGCCGAACGAGATGGACGAGAGGACGTACTGTCTTGCGGAAGGATAAAAAAACCGCGAATGACACTATGTTACACGAATCGAAATGAGAGATGTGCGAAATAATAGATTATTACGACTTGGCGCGAATGCGTAATGGGTACTTATACGCAGTCGTAATTATCACCAAAACACACGATTCCGTTTACCGCGTGCATTTTATGCGATTAGCTCGCGCACGCGACAAGTAATTGCATGTGATCAACGGGTTGCGGCTAATTTGCTTATCGCAATTATCACGGCGAGGCCGAGAAAGCAGCTAATTAAATGTTCGCGGTGAGTCTTTATTTTTTTCTTTCTCAGGGTCTTAAATGCGTGAGAAGTCGCCAATTTGAAATTCAAAAAGTAAAGAGCGCATAAAACTTATCGTACTATTTAATTTTCCAATTTTCATGCCTTGATAATCAATTGTACATTATATCAATTGTACATTCTGTTCATAAAATATGTTATATTTAACACATTTATTTTTAACAAACTCAATTACTAATAATTGACGAGATTCTACTACTAGTTAATTTTTCAAAAAATTTCAATGCTAATACTCATATCTTATTTCAACGAGACTTGTTTTATTTTAATGTACTTGATTACGATATTCACTTTAATCTTCATGTAAATTTTAACTATATTTTCATTTTTCTAATTGTTGAGGATGAAATCAAAAAAGCGAAAAATTGAAACATCGAATTAATTTTATTTTTTAATAAAGAATTAAAATTCTTTATAATACGGCTATCTAATGTTGGCTCTGCTTGGCATTTGTACTTTGTGATTTATATTCTATATAGCTTTTTATCATTCTTATATTTAAATCATGGTATAACATTTCACGCTCCATTCTGTATATAACATCTTTCCATGCGACATTATATTATTAATATTAATTTATACTTATGCTATATATTATAATCCGTAATTAGAATAATTTAATTCGTGCTTTGTCTTGACAAAATCGTTCGACCAGTCTGTAGAACGAAAGCGGCAGAGGTAAAACAATAACATGGAACTGTGCGCATGAGTGAAAGCACCTGCTCCGAAAGAACGTGAAAGAATCGCGTACGTGCCAAATTTGACACGCATTAATTATCCATCACGCGAACCATTCATTCGTGGACCACTCGAGCGTTGCTCGAGCGATCTCCGTCCGGTGATGTATTATTTGCAACACGGAAGTTTCACGCGAAAAATTCATGCGCAACGTGCGGACACGCCGACCTCTTCGTGAGTCTGTCTGATTCCGAACAACGAGTTTGTATACATTGAATACAAAGACTACTCGAGCAGCCCTATTATGCGGCGCAATCCTCCGAGGAACGACCAGCGGAAACTAGTGTCCGAACTTACCACGGTTGTCGTAAAGAGGTCAGGCCTCATAAAAAAGAATCGTTAACTCGAGTAAAGGCCACGACGAAAAAATCGTGCCACTTCTTCAGGCCGCGGCGACGCGGCGTGTCGCGATGCGGTGCTGCAACTA